ATTAACGCACAGCAAACAAAACAATTAATCAAGATGCAGGTTTTTAGTGGGATTCGTTGGGATCGGAAATAACAGCGAGGTAATTGAAAGGTCATCGATTCATTGACGGCCACATGGTGCCTGTTCGCACACGCTTTTGCCAGCAATTTGTTAAAATTGAACGCTTTATTTACCAGCTTCGACTGTCCTGTGTCCTGGATTCTTGCCACTCCCCAATGCCCCTTTTTGTCCTTTAGTTGCAGTAAATGAATGTGAGTGTGCTGACACGTGGTGCCCGCACCGGCACATTGTATCCGTATCTGCAGTTGCATCTGTATCTACAGCGTGTCCTGGCTGAGCGACAGTTTGACATCTCTAAATAAAGTTTGCACTTGCCAGCTACGTGGGCACAACCAGGACAGACACACAGGACATGGCACCCAGGGAATAGAGGGATAGTCACCCGCAGTAGCACGTTTGACAATTTAATGGTGTTGAGGTTATTTATACAATACGCTCGCTGCAACTGCTCAAATATTCAGTGACCGCCAGCCAATGACGTGTTCAGCAGTTGGTTCAAGAACCACTTTTATGGCTTTAGCTAGTCAGTTCAACTTAGGGGACAATGTATGACTTGGGAATTTAGATGGAAAGAAATTACAGGAAAAGGGATGGAGAAGTAAATAATATTAAAGATTAAAGGAACTATAAAAGGAATACATTAGGACATTAGTTAACTAACATTTTCATGATCCTTTTTGTTAAACTAACCAGAGCTTCTTTACCTTTAATTGAAGAGATTTGAAAGAGAACTTACAGAACCTAACATTAACATCATAATAATCTATTCAAGCATTGATTTTTTAATCCAACTAATAAGAGCCTTCCTTGGTATTATTTCAATAGTTTAACAGAACATTACAACCCCAAAATAACCTTATACTCAAAAAAAGCACATTAACAAACAGCTTAAGCTTGAGCTTTAATAGAACTAATCGGGATTTCGTCTTGGCTATTAGCTGATCCCAGTTCAAATTGCATTTAAGTTACTGCTGATGGACGTTTGATTGACAGGACAGCTTCCGACAGCTAACAGGATCCAAAGTGCCTCGTCAGTGGCTGAAGTTCCTGGACAGACAAGGATGCTCCTACTCTCACAGAGCACTCAGCACTCAGTACTTGCATTGGCGGCTAACCAAGGCATTACTCTTGGCCCGGCCAGAACGCAGTTACAGCTACAGTTTATTGCCTCTCATTTAATTTCAGCCGGAATGGTTGAAACGCTCTGAATTAACGATCTGTTTGGCCGCATAAAGGCGATTACCGAGGGAGATATACCCTCGAATTGCCGACGAGTTATAGCTTTTTAAATGCAGTTACTGGTCAACAAATTAAATAGCGCTTCTCTTATGCCATTATCTACGGCAATTCCACAACAGACCGAAGGGCAACGGTACGTATACGCAATAAATGGATATCGAACACCGCACACTTGATTATCGAAGCTTGATTAGCTTGGGATTCTGTACAGAGTTTTGCCATAATGAATGTCCCCCGATTCGAATATTTGAATATTATGGCGGGAGCCATAAATCAGCGGCAGGGGAAATTGCCAAAAGTGGGGCAGTGTCATCATGTGATGATGTTGACTGCTGTACGTTGCTGCAGGAATGCAAATGAAATGACCTGCAGCATGACATGCAAAGGTGGAATGCAAGGTTGCTAATAAATAAAAACATTTCGAGTGCATTTACATAATTTTGATTATTTTCGCTGGATGCAGCGTCCTTAGCCCCCGAATAACATTTCCATTAGGAGAGAGGGGATGTTTTTGGTCTCTGTTGGTGGTGGTGAAAATGTTTTGCATTATGGAAATTTCCGTTTGTCATTTTTGGGCGCGAAGTGTCTACATGCAAATTGAGTTGCAACAAGCAGCAGCAGCAGCAGCAATAGCAGCAGATCTCGCAGCATTGTTTGTTTAGTTTTAGCATTTGGCAAATGCAATCTTAATAAGGCTTCCTGTTGCCATGACCATATCTGTGTCTGTTTCTGTGTCTGTTTCCGTGCCCTGCCAATACATTAAATTGCAATTTTAATTTGTTTAGCATGCGGCATTCCTCCATGCCATTCCGTACCATTTCCCCATTTTCCCATTTCTGCCCGCCGAACCACATGGCGTATGCGTTATATTCATACATAGCCCTGCATATATGCACTCACAGCCCTGTCTGCATATTTAATACTGCCATTCCACCTGCAGCTGCGGCCCAGACATCTGCCGGAGATACTTTCGCATTAAAAATTTAAACAACACTGCAGACAGAAGGGAGGAGCCCCTGGCATATGATTCCAAATGGATTTCTGGTGGCACAAACATTTTAAGCTATGCGATTCTCGATATTGGTTCACCTAAATATTCTTCCAAATTGTTATAATCCCCCAGATATATGCAAATGAAATGTCTTTTAATTTGGCTTCTACCAGTCGTGTTCATAAATTTGCTTTCAGTTCTTTTAAGACGAAACATAGCCGCATTCTCATTCACTATGTGCCACAGTATATATATATATATATAGGAAAATACATCAAGAAAGAGCTGAGGAAAATCAGGAAACGTAAAATATATTTACATAATTGCTGATGATCGGCAAAGAGTGTCCCATTGAGGAGCCCGAGAGCATACATACTTGTAGTAGAGTACAGAGACCCCGCGATGAGGCAGACTCGAGGAATGCGCAGCGCCAACACTAAAGTGAATATCAACGAACGACCTTCAACATGAAATGCGACGTAAAATAAATTTATCTCAATTATATACATATATATGTGTGTATGCATCTGAATCTGTATACACCGATGGACCTCTCTCTGGTACGGATTTCGTTGGGGGGACGGGAAACTCTGAAGACGGCCAGTGAGAGATTCCTTTGCCTGTTTGCTTTTACATTCACCTTGGCAATATTCGAATAAGAATTTATTTTTGAATTTTTCTTTTCTTTTTTCAACGGCTGTGGTTAAAAAAGAAATGAAAAATGTTTTCCCGCCCAGCGAGGAGCAGCCTCCGTACAGCAAACTCAGCGCCTCATTAATGCGCAGAAAATGAAGAACCATATTGGAATTATCTATTTCTAATAATTCTGCTCAGTTTGCTTGGGTTCTTTTACGATTAAGCTTCACTGTAGGCGCCTCTTTATGTGGAAATATGTACATTTCGTTCATCTAATGACGCCAGAACATTTTTATGCAGATTTCTTGTTTAAATATTTATACAATATCGTCTTGTCTTGTTGGAAAATGTATCAAAATGAACTGCATTTAAAATATTATATATGTAGAACAAGACCTGCTTGTTTGATTTATTTGACTAGAGCTTTGTATAAACAAAGAGCAGCATAAAATGTTTTCATGTCCATTTTAAATCCACGTGTGGCAAGGAGAAGCCATTTGAATGTCCCTGCGGTTTGGCAATTTCCGCTGTAAATGCTTTAATTTCCTCTTCGATTAAAGTTCCGATTTTTTCTGGCCAAGATTCGCCATAATTGCCAAGAGTAGCTGGCCAGAGGAAATTGAGAAATCAGCTTATGCACCATTAGCACATGAGAGCCCCGAAATACTTGGCTACACTCGGGCACAAGGCCAGGGAAAAAAGGGTTGGCCAATCGGTCAGGTTGCTGTCGTCACCTTTTGCCACAGGTAGACAAGTATTTCCGTTTGTTGTTATTTGCCAATTTGCGAAAACTGCCTGGCAAAACGAGACGACGACGCACAACCCTTTTTTTTGCAGTTTGTTCTCTGCGAAAAGGGAAACCGTGGTGTGATGGCACTAAATCAGGACAACGCCTCCTCTGTGGGTAGCTTCCTCTTTCGACTGCCTCGTGTTACGCCGGTTTTTTTTTTCCCCGGTCCCAGTCCCGGTCCGGAGTTCTTTTCATTTTTGGAATTGCCCGACGTTGGACACTTTTCATGCTACAGGGATTTCCCAGCACTATTCTCCCTTAACCATTTCCTGCTGGAACCCAACTACTTGACACTTCCTTTTTCCCCATTTTTCCTCGCAGTTTTGGGACTTTTCCAGTCGCCTTTGTCTTTGTGACTAAGGCACTGTAGATACAGTTACCACAGCTTTGCCCTCGGCTTTTCCCCACCGCTCCTAACACTCATCTGGTATGACATTTATCCTTCATCGTTTGCTCTTCCTTGACGGCGATTCGCTTTAGCTTTTATTTCGGCTTTAATACTGGCAGAGGGAAAAAATTATTTGGCCTCTCTTTTGTTTTATGCGTGAAATTTATTGTTTCTGACAATGGAAACGGCGTCGCAAATGTTTCCTGATCACAGCGAGCCTTATCTGGGCACCCTTTTTGGTTCGGATTCAGTTGCCATATACCCATCCTCCTGCTACAGGATTTTCCTCCCCATAGTCCTGGCCGGGCATTGTCGTATTTTATTGAAATTCATGTATTTTTAAAAGCCCCTGCCCATGGGATGCGGCTCTAAATCGTTTAAGCATTTGTTTCAACCATTCTCGCAGCTTGATTTCGCCAAAAAACCATTCTGCAGTTGTGTTCGGTTTGTTTTTTATCTGTGCATAAAAGTTAATGTTTTGCATCGGTATCAGTATCATGAGCCGAAAATGTTTATTGTTTTGGCCCTTTATTAAAGCGTAGTTAACTGCTGATAACTTCAACTGCTTGGGGAGAATACAAACAAAAATAATGTTTAGGGATAGCAAAAAACATCTGCTAAGCCTTGGATTTGTGTTGATTTGATTTGTGTCCATTGGCAATTCTGGCTTTTAGGGATTCGTTCACCAAGCAATAACCAAATTGGACGAGTTATTGATCTAATATCTGGGACAAAGAATATACAATAATTACGATTCGCTGTTCGAGAACAGTATCAGGGTTGCTGAATACACAGATAAGTGTTGATAGCAAACCCTTATCATTGCTGAAACACAATACGTATACGCCGCGTTGACAGCGCTCTCTCTTCGGTGCAGTAGCAATTAGTTGACTTACCACCTTCCGGCTCTGAGTCATCTATATAGATCATATTGCTGCGTCGCTTGGCGCCGATTTCCCGCAAACGTTGACCCGTTTTCAGCAGCTTCTCCTTCTAAAATTTTCCACTGCACAAACTTTCTTCACACGCGTTTTGTGTGTTTTCTGTACTCGTATTTATTTATTTCGTGAATACTTAATGGAAATTATAAGTATTCATCACTTAGCATTTTTGGGTTTCGGATTTTTGCGTTTTGGCTTCACTTCACTGGGGGCACTGTGATGGGTTTCTTTTTAGAAATTGATTTGGATATCTTTCGATTTTTTTGCGCACTTAAAAAATGGCACAAAAGAATTATATTCTTTATTTATAGCTGCTGTTGGCGGCGCACCACGTTGCGTATGCTTGATATTAGCGCAAAATTCGAACGCGAAAAAGCTATTGTGCTATTGTGTCATCGCGAGCGAGCGTTTTGCCTCAAACTGATTTTGGCCTGGCCGAGCACTATTTGATTTGAGCTGTTTTTCGCCTCAGCCTCGGCTGTTTCTGCGTTTTCCGATGCACAGGGAGAAATTTCTTAGAGTTGCACTTATATTTTGCTAAGAATACTTATTAAGAATTGATTTAAGAACAGTATTTCTGCCTTAAAAGTTATACTTGAGACATATTTAATTGATTATTTATATTTTTACTTCACAGATTAGATTGATTTCTCGCAGTGTGCCTCTTCAGTCTTTTGCCAATACTCGCATGTGTGTTCCTTTGTGGTTATAAATGTGTTTCGGCTGATAACTGCCACAGCACTGAGAGAATTTGTGGGCACTTTTCGACGATCTCTCTCTATTTCGCTGGCGACCGACCAATACGTATCTATAAATAAACAAACACAGGCACATATAGGGGGCCAAAACCTCCAATATATATGTTTGTGTATATAGCCACTCGTATTTGTATGCTCGGTCTTGTCTGTTTGGTATAAAAATAAATTGCAGAGCAATTTGTACGCTGCGCTCTTGTCGCTCATTTTGCGGCTTGTTTTTGTAAGCGAATAAAAATGATATTCCCTGTTGTCGTTTAGCACATTTTCTACAGTTTTTCGATTTTCTGGCAACCGAAAGCTGGCAGGACAACAACAACAAATCGGCAATGTCTATAAGTATATATATATATAAGAAGAAGCCATCAGTACTATATACATTTTGCTTCCTACTCGCAATTTGTCACTTTTTCGCAACTTGTTGCCGCCCTTTGAATTTGGTCTGGTTTTTATTTTTAATTATATTGGTTTAACAAGACATAATTATTAGTATTCCCTTCCAATAAGTATCTTTTTTGCGAAGTCAAAATGGTTTATTATGGAGATAAGATTTTGCCTGTTCAAGTACCTTATCAATTGTAAAGAAATCTATATGGCAATAGCCTCTTTTTGTCTGATACTGTGCATTTCTATTTGATGATTGAAAATCTAAAATTAAGAAAGCCTTCTGCAAATAGAATACTTTGAAATCATTTCCTTAATTTCCTTATTAATAGATCTGTAATAAGTTCAAGAGGAAATCGTAGGCCAAAAAACATTAAACAGAACTCGTAGACAGCTAAATCTATATTTGCATTCCATAATCTCTTGGCATTCCTAAATCCCACAACAAATTCCTAAAACGAGTGCATAAATTCTCATTAAATCCGAAACAAGTGTGAAATATAAATAATGAGCGAGCAGGAGGCCCATTATCTAGACTCGTTATTAAATTACGTCCGTCTATATTTATATGGGTTACCGGTACGCCGTAGACTCTGTAGAACCATGCGCGTATCTTATCAAACGGAAGAAAGCCCAATAGCCGGACGTTTTGAGAATAAAAGGCCATGCGTCATGGTCAAACATAAATAGATGAGTGGAACACCTACACTGAGGTAAAATTATAAGAGTAAGCTACTGGAATCTACTTGATAAATGTTGGAAAATGTTCCAGTAAAAGCTAAAGGTGTTTGCTATATTTCTAGTAATTTAATTACAAGCTTACCTTAAATATTTAATATTACTTATACTCAGTGCATCTAATTGGTTTGTAAATGGATTGGGCATAGCGAAAGCTTTAATTGCTTTAAAAAAAATGCTGACTATGCCTGCAGCTAACAATAACACCGACTGAGCCGCAAGGAGCTAACCGAAACCTGTGCCATTAAATTACGTATACGCGCTGTTGGCAGATGCAGCCATAGAACTGCCCCGTTGACCGCTATCCACTCCTCCAGTCCCCAGACCCAGCCCCAGTTCCAGCCCCTGCTCCAGTCCCTGCTCCTTCTGCTCCTAGTACACCACCACGTATACGTAATATCCACTCGCTTCGACGTTAAGCCAACGAAGGCAAATAAACAAAACGCCTGCCGCCAGGTCGGGGACCACTTGATGTGAACGTGCCCAGACAAGGGCGTGTGGCCGGGAAACGTGTTCTCACCCAGAAGCCAGCACTCGCATCCCCTGGAATCCCAGCCACAGCTCCCACCAAAGACCACTCCAGTTTGGCCGGGGCCTTTAAGCCTTTCGAACAGGGTCCAAGGCAAACAGACTGGTTGGCAGCGAACTAAGCTGTGTTTTGATTTTCGCCGAACGCTCGGTGCTGGGCTGACCAGTGACCAAAGGGCTCATCCTGGCCTGGCTTTTGCGTCACGGGCTTCCGCCTTTGGTCGCGCTTTTGAATAATGCAAATCCTCTAAATGCGCTAAACGCAGCGGGAGGTGGTTGCTCCTCGTGATTTTTTTTCACTCGCACAGATCGAAAATTGCGATTGCGGCACGTCTTGTTTTGGATAATACTCTGCCAAAGGGGTTGAGTTGGTTACTTGGGTAGTTATTTTGAAATGGATTAAGCAATATTTTTTGTCATTTGATTAAACGTTATTATTTATAGATATTACTGAAAGAGATGTATGTAAATTAAGGTTATCTTGAGGTGTAAATAAAATGATTTTTAAAGAAATATCTCCTTCCCTTTATCTCAGACAGCACTAATCTTTCCCATTTCAAATTATTTTCAATTTCTAAAAATATTTACAAAGTTTGTAGCTTGTATAGCTAATCTTCAATTTTCTTCAGTATTTAATTGGTTTTCATTAAAGTAAAGAACAGTCACTCTTTTACACAGATATTTATATATATTTCTATAATCAGAATCACTACCTTAAAAGAGTGCTTTTCTTCTATTGAAATTTTAATATCTAATCAAAGGGAATCATAAGTTCTTGCTGCGATAAGTGAACTTTTTCAAAACAATTTAGTTGATTTGTTGTTGTTTTGCTAGGCATTGTCACTGCAGTTTTCGTTGCTCCGCCGTTGTTTTTTTCGGTTGGAGTTTGTTTTTTTTCTTTCTGCTGTCACACCTTGCCGGCCAGGTGCAAAAGCCAAACGTTTTGCGGATATAATGTTTTTACACCTTCTTCTGTTTGGTTATTTTCGCGGCACACAAAATTGTTTAGTTGTCAGGCGGTGTAGATATTTGTTGTTGATCTTTTTCCTGCTTCGCTGATAAACTTTTCACCTGGCAAATGTTTACGCACGACTATCAATGCGAATTGCCGTTCGCTGGGAAATTTCTGTTTTGGAAAATTGACAAATTCTGGCACTCGACTCGACTCTCCGCCGCCGTTGCCACCGCTTCCTCGGTTGCTCATTGCACGCGTGCAACTGTTTCGGCATGTTCGAAAATATTTTTCAATTTCAGTCCGGGTTTTTTCGGTGGGAATTTTGTGTAGGCAACGCCTCGTTGCGCTATTTTCGTGCTCCTTTTGCTTTTCCCCGCTTGCTGTGTGTTTTTTTTCTTTTCGTCGAGCACGATTTTCGAAATCATTTTCAGATTTTCTCCCGGATTTCCCTGGGTTTCTTTCCGCTGCCTCGCAACGTGAAGTCAGTCAGTGTTTATCCCGCTAAACTTCTTTGCGGGCTAATAATAAACCAGCAAACAACAAACAGCAACAGCCGACAATCGCACCTAAACAACTGCATTGGTCCATTAGCCCCATTTTTCTCAAAGCATTTTCCATTTTCCGGGTGGTACGTGAGGCAGAGCAGGCATGGCATGAAGCTGAAGCAATGTTAGAAGAAAATAAGTCATATAAACAGGTTGTTGCTGGTTGAAAAACCTACTTGTTGGGTTTCGATAAGGAATCCATTAAGTGCGAATTCTTTAAAAGTTTATAATGATCCAAAATAAGGCTTAGAGATAGGGTAATCTTAGTATTTAATAAATCGAAAACATATATTAACAATCGTTAGATGTATAACCTTTTATTTCTTTTATTAAATCACTTTATAATAAGGTGTGATTGAAACTATTAATTACTATTATTAATTATAGTTATTAAACTTTGAGGGTAATATTACAAACACGATTTAAAGTTTATGAACAGCAAGCACGCCAGCTTTGAACATATAAAGCGATTTTCTGTTTCAAAACTCATACAAAATTGTGGAACAATGTCATTCGGATATTTTCAGGCGTTGCTTATACTTTCTTTCTCAATTCTGGTACGTACATCCCCTCGAAAATGATCAAAAATAACCCTGTATCATGTATCCCCCTTTTTAGGGATATGTCTGTACTGTGTACGAATTTCGATTACACACCTTTAAGCAACTGAAAGCAGATACAGAGACACTGGTCGAGTTCAATTTGCGACTCCTGGGTCGCCAGCGGGCGCTAAATGGAACTATTAAATGCAACGCGGACATAGGTGATGAGTTTGTGTGGAAGATTAGGATCGAGCAACATATAAATGGGGATTGGAAGCCCATTCCCATTAAGATGGAAGCTACAACCTGCCCGTTTCTTGAGCTTTTTTATGGTAAATACTGGGATATCCCGCCTTCGAGCACCAACCTGCCCATGGGCAAGGATGGCTGTCCGATCAGAAAGGGTGAATATTATTTAAAGAATATGTCCCTGCACTTGGATAATTGGATGCAATTTGGGAAAGAAGGCTTAAACAGATGCAAGCTCACTATATCGAAAAATGACATAGTGCACGGTGGCTTTATCGGTGTTGCAGTCCTTACAGAAATTTGAGAGCAAGAAACTTATTTCCATAATAAGGCAGATGGTTTCTTGTTAAAAAGTGTTAATACATAATCAAAACTTGAAAGATTTAAATTGTTATTGTAATTTTTATTGTCTTGACTATATTCATTAAAATTATTTTAATTTCTACAAAAAATAAGCGATAATTGAAACAAACATTAAACAAACAATAGAAAGAACATTTAATAAAGATTATTTTCCATTTTAAGAAAATTGATTAATGGTAAATGGTTAATAAAGGTTTTACTACAATAATTATTTTTATAATTAATTTAATTTTATTTATAATTTTTTGAGGGATTCAAATTCCGAGACATTTATATTGTATTTCGCTTTATAAGATAATTAAATTGATCAAGGTCTTATAAAATTGAACATTTTTAAAACTCTTTCATGCGGATCGATAACTAAGTGGCTTTCGAAATCAATTTGCTTTTTGCCCGAATACCTTATACCCTTTCAGGGTATTATAATATCAGTCAGAAGCTTACAACACAGTGAAGGAATCATTTCCGACTTTATAAATCATATATATTATTGATCAGTATGAATAGTCGGATCGATCTAGCTATGTCCGGTAGAAAACAAATTTTTCGATGTTTTTTTTTTATATTTCAAAATATTATAAGGGGTTACATCGTTAAAATTGTCACATAACTGCCAAAACTTTTAGTATTTATAAACTTTACATGGAGTATGCAGAATTATTACCTAATAAAAACTAACATAGGAAAGCTTTGCGAATTAAATTTAATGCTCTTTTGGGTTAGTTATGTGTTTTTCAAAACATTGGTTTCTCCGAAAAATTGTCATATAAAAATGCGATTATTTAAGGCTTAATTATAATCTTCTTCCAATTCGATTGTTTAATTTAATTGCAAACTGCAAGGGTATATAAACTCCGGCTTCCCCGGCTTCTGGTTTTTTTTTATTTTCGCTCTCAGCTGGTGGTGGGCCGTCCATTTTCTGGGTCATTAGTGTATAGAAACTATGCAAAATATGCAGACAAATGGCAGTATTAATTATTTAATTCAAACCGATCATAGTTCGTCCAAATTATCCGCTATGTGGCGACAACATGGTGCTTTGTTCTGGCTTTCTAAGGTCGCTGGCAAGTCGTTGACTGCTTCTGATCTTGCTGGCGCCGCATTTTATGACATTTCCCATCAGAGCGCACATATTTTAGTGTCCTCCCCCCTTTTTCCCCATTTTTCCGTATATATTTGTTTGTATACTTTTTTGTTGTATATTTTCTTTATTAAAAATAAACGGCATTTGGCCTTTGCACGGCTCGTTGACAGCGTCAGCTCTCAATGTTAGAGGAGAGTGTGGCTGAAAGTGAAAAATTTATAAGCCAGCCAGACCTTGCTGCTTGAACTTGTGGCCGTTTGTGTCAAAGTGGAGCAATGACACTTTTGCTACCAATTTGATGATATACAGGAATATGCATAAAGATGCTCACTCTGGCGGATGACGAATCATTTTGCTGATGATGCTGCTGGCCCACTTCCGGCGAGACTTGTTTACGTCTAACTGTCCGTACTCGACCGCGTAAACAAATGCACAGGTGAGTTGTATTTATAGCCAAAATGCGGCCTATTTCGATCGGATTCTGATTCGGATACTGATTCTGATTCGGATTGGTGGCGTCAGTGATGCGGCACTTCATCCGCCTGATTTGCGTTGGCTGGTAAATACATTTAATTGGCAGTTCTGCTGGCAGCTGAGTGCCTGAGTGCCTTGTTTATTATACAAGAAACATGCTGACTTATTTCTGGCATTTCATTTTCACATGTCAAAGGCGGAGAGGGGTCTATATACTACATATTTTTTGTTTCTTGGTGAAGAGCTGGAAAAGTTTTGTGGGCAACCGCAAAACAATTAAATTTGATTGCCTTTTAAACCCTTTTCAGGGGGGTGTTGTTCCAGTGTTCAGGAACGTGCGTTTCTAATCCATTTCGGGGAAGTTTTCCATCTCGGCACGTACGCCCACGCCCACTCGGGTCCGGAGTTTTCCCCCTTTCCACCTTCGATTCCCTGGGCTCTTGGACACACCTCAGTCTCAGCTTGAGCCCCAGCTCCTGCCACATCTTCTGCTCCTGCTCCTGCTCCTGCTCAATTTCCAGCCTCAGCTGGGCTGTCATGAGTAGCTGGGAATTTATTTTACCACAAGGACTGGTGTTTTATGTTGCTTCCCCGGTTTTCGGGGATTTGTTTCGGCAGATAACTTTGTTTATTTGCATTCGATTTAACTTAAAGTTTGGCTTCATTGATGAAAATTTCGTATTGTTTAAAGGGTAGGATATGCCTCAGTCGATTGGTATGCGAAAATAAATATTTAAACAGCATCACGTCCAGTTGATGGCGTCATTTCAGCTGAGAGCTGAGAGAGAGAAGCAGAGAGCTTAAAATAGAGGAAAACTGTGGAAAATAAAGCCTTAATATATGCAACTCCCGAAAGTCGGCCATACTATTGATGGTATTAAGTGAGAAAAACCTCTCAATACTCTGCGAGTTCCAATTAAAGGGCCAAAAAGGAAAGTGTATGTAATTGGTAATTCGATTATGCAAGATACAACCTCTGTTGCTTACCAAGTTAGGCGATGAATTTTGTCCTGAAAGGTGAGACTTTTCCGGTTTTCCCTCTGCTTTATTCAACTGAAAATTATAATTTTCTGGATCATTGCAGTGGTTTTTGAGGTACTCGATCGATGCCACATTATTATGCGGCAGCGCACAACAGAATTTGCGAGCTGCAGCTTGAAATAATAGAGGCGGAATGCAATTTGGGGCAACGCAACATCCAGGGCCATAAATTTAATGCAAGACAAACAATATGACGGCTCAGAGGGGGTTACAAAAAAATCTCATCAGCGAGAAGAAATATTGAATGCAATTTTATTTGCCACACACTGTACTTGGGCATGGGTTTGGGCCTGGGTTTGAGCTCCCAAGCAAAGCATAGCCAAGCGTTTGGCGAACTGCCGGGTGAATTATGGAAATGCATCATATTATTCTCTAGATCCTGTCTGCCGCCTTGCTCCTTGCTCAATTTCATCCTCGGCTGCAGGATAGCCGGCTGCAGGATGTGTGTGAGAGCGTGCGTGTAACTATGCTACTTACTGTCTGCTGCCTGTCTTTCCTTCGGTAGGTGTTTGCTTTAGGGAGTGCACGGGTAAAAAATACCCACATCAGATAAGGCAATTTAAAATTCTGAAGGTTTTAGCATATGAGAAAAAATATTAAAACAAGAAAGGAAGCTAATTTTCGCACGCCGAAGTTTGTATACCATTGCAGATTGAAATTTGATCACTAGGAATAATAAATTAATAGAATATAAATTCTATCATATATATTTATTTTTAAAAACAATTAAGTAATGCATTTTCTTCTAATTTTAACGATCGTCTGTATGGCAGCTATATAATATAATAGTCCGATTTTCAGACAATTTTACACAAAATTCTAGATTATATATATCAAATTTGATGAAAATCTGTTGGAAACTATAAAAGTTATAGTTTTTTTCATAACATTTTCCGATCGTTCCTATGGCACATATATTTGGCATATATTTATTTATATATATAGTCCAGCGATTCGGCATCGAGCTATATACTAGTAAGATTATTTAGAAAAATAACTCCATAGTTTCATTCAAATAGCTTGCTTTAAATTTGTTCCAAAACAAATCTCTCTCTGTACATATGATTCCCAACTGATTCTAACATCCCCGGAACGAAGTGACTTCTGCCGGCCCAGTATCAGAAATGTGTTGTGTTACAAAAGTTGCAAGTCATTGTTTATTAGTGTCCAAAGATAGTTACTAATCATACATACTTACTGGTCATAGATACTTACTGATCATAGTTACTTACTGGTCATAGACACTTACTGTTCAGAGTTACTTACTGATCATAGTTAATTACTGGTCTTAGTTAATTACTGATCATAGTTCTATAAATCGTCCGAGTATTCCGATATCAGCTATATATTCTAGTAAAATTAAATATAAGAATAAGTCTATAATTTCATTAAATGGCTTGGTCTTTGTTCCAAAACAAATCTCTCACATGTGTGCATATGATTCCCAACTGGTTCTAACATCCCCGGAACGAAGTGACTGCTGCCGGCCAAGTCTCAGAATAGTGTTGTGTTACAAAAGTTGCAAGTCATTGTTTATTAGTGTCCAAAGATAGTTACTAATCATACATACTTACTGGTCATAGATACTTACTGATCATAGTTACTTACTGGTCATAGACACTTACTGTTCAGAGTTACTTACTGATCATAGTTAATTACTGGTCTTAGTTAATTACTGATCATAGTTCTATAAATCGTCCGAGTATTCCGATATCAGCTATATATTCTAGTAAAATTAAATATAAGAATAAGTCTATAATTTCATTAAATGGCTTGGTCTTTGTTCCAAAACAAATCTCTCACATGTGTGCATATGATTCCCAACTGGTTCTAACATCCCCGGAACGAAGTGACTGCTGCCGGCCAAGTCTCAGAATAGTGTTGTGTTACAAAAGTTGCAAGTCATTGTTTATTAGTGTTCAAAGTTAGTAACTGATCATACATACTTACTGGTCATAGATACTTACTGTGCAGAGTTACTTGCTGGTCATAGCTAATTACTGATCATAGTTGATTACTGATAGTAGATCTATAAATCGTCCGATTGTTCCTATGGCAGCTATATATATGTATATATATAGTCCACCGATTCGCCATGCTCCGATTTATATACTAGTAAAATTATATAGAAGAATAACTCCATAGTTTCATTCAAATAGCTTGCTTTAAATTTGTTACAAAACAAATCTCTCTCTGTACATATGATTCCCAACTGATTCTAACATCCCCGGAACGAAGTGACTGCTGCCGGCCAAGTCTCAGAATAGTGTTGTGTTACAAAAGTTGCAAGTCATTGTTTATTAGTGTTCAAAGTTAGTAACTGATCATACATACTTACTGGT